TCCAGGTGATCAATGGGATCGAATTCAGGGTCGGGTTGCGGTTTTGGGCTTCGGTAGCGGGGGTTTGTAATGAGAAGGGGCGGGCGCACCCCGAATTCTTTTTCCTGGTTCTCCCAAAACGCATACAGCGATGGTAGATCAGTTCGATAGTGATTGCCCACCTTGGGAGGTTTCGGCGGAGGCCGGGTGCGTAGTAATGGGTCGGACTTCAGTCCGGTGTAACTGACGCAGTCCTGAGTGATGCCCGTCCGCGGCGAGGCGAGGATTCTTGGCACAAAGTTGAAGTCCTCGCTAAACTCCACCACATGCATACCTAGGCGGTTAGAGACGTCCTCATAGCTCTCCTGTAAGAGGAAGGATCAAATTTCAGAGGTGGCAAAGGCTCCACTCGCGTTGAAACCGTACCTGTTCATTTAGTAGGCGCAAAAAGCCGCGCACGATGGAGAGGTAGTTTTTTGTATTCCCTTCCACCTTGGCGTGCAGATCCTTGATACCGATAAGATCACACAATGTCTTGATTGCACGGTGGCACACTAAACCATATCCTGTAAGGAAATTTGCAATTATTATCAGTCGTGAATCAGAATCTCGAGGACTTGGTACTGATAGATTATAGAGGCCAAAAAATACAACAACAAAGCCTTGCCATCTGGTTACCGCTGGGACCGTTGAAACATAAGAAAGAGTTCTGATACGCTAGACTAACACTACAAAGAAGAGGCACCTTCGGGCTTTGGTGTGGCGAAGATCGTGGTGTGCCACTCTCGGACGTGACCAAGATGCCATACTGAAATAAGAAGGACAAGAATTTAAAGGCTGAGGGAAGACTCGATACGATTTGCTAACTAAACTAATCAGGCTACTAAGCTATCATCACCCTAGCACTTTCCTTTAATACTTGAGAAAGGAACAAGCCGCAAAGAGGCAAAAACGGTTTAATAATGACTTTTTGGGGGTAGTGCTACTTTACTTAATTCCACCATTGCACAGACAAGGCAGAAGTGTTACTGGTAAGATATGTGCTGCCAAGTAAATATATTGGGAGAGAAGAAACGCACGCGTTCGATTCTCTTTCAAATTAAAGGAAACGAGGTTGAGGAAAGCTCGGTGTTTTGCTCGCTTTAGGGCTCCACGCAAAGTGACCGATCTAGCCTTTCCAACGCCGCAGATACCTCGTTCATTCCCAGCGACAACTAGTGCAGAAAATCGTCGATAGCGACCAACAGTAGCAGTCATCGTCGAAACAGCCTATCAGTATAAAACAGAGAAAGAGACATGCATCAAATTCCGCAACAAAAAATTGACGTGAAT